CGCCTGGTGTGGGGCACAGAGTGCCACAGTCTGACTTGGGTTTTCTGAGACCTTCTGGCTTCGTACGTGTGGGGCTTTCTTTAGAGGCTGTGGGACTGAGGACAGAGGCTGAGAGTGCAGTGAGGCTCATGTGCCCCACGAGGGATGACGGTGGTGGGAAGAGGCGATCAGATTCGGCCTGTGGCCGAGGCTAGGGACCACAGGGATGTGGGGTGCCGGAGAGACAGAGGAGCCGGGACCCCTCTGAGGGCTTGGGCCTAACACTACAAAGGAGAGACAGAGGTCAAGTCATTTGACTGAAGTCACACAGCCAGAGATGCAGGGCTGGGACCTGTCATGGGGGCAGAGAGGCCCTGGCCCCTAGCCCTGCCGTCTCTGCCCTCCGCAGTGTGCTGGGGGGGGCTCCAGGGGGGGCTCCAGGGGGGGCTCCAGAGGAGGCTCCAAGGGGTCTCCAGGGGGGGCTCCAGGGGATCTCTGCTTTCTCTACCTGGCTCACAGCCTGGCTCACCCAAACCCTGGTTCTGTTGGGTCTGGTTCAGGAACAGGCCTGGGACTGGGTCAACAGGTAGAAGCCCACAGCGGGGCTTGCTGGGTCCCCCCTGCTCCTGGCTGGAGGGCTGATCCTCACACTGCGTTGCCCCGACCCTCCCACCTGACCTGGCCCTCCAAACCAGCGGACCTGGGGACAAGCCTAGCATCTTGACTGTGACATGTGCCTGAGCCCCCAGTTGCTCCTCTGTCAGTGGGGCCAACCGCAGAGCCCTCCTGTAAAGGACTGGGCTAGGTGCCCTTGAGAGGCTACTGCGGGGGCCCCAAGCCCTCCTGATGCACAGTAGGGGCACCCCAGGGATTGCCAGGACAGCTGCCATCCTTCAGGACCCCCGTCTCTGTGCCCATTCTTCAGATAGTGAAACTGAGGCTCTGAGAGACCACACAGGCTGGTGTGGACAGAAGCCCTCTCCAGGCCTGAGAAAAGCATGATTAGGTAGGCGCAGTGGCACAAGCCCCAGCAGCTCGGGAGGCTGAGGTAGGAGGATCATGAGTTCAAAGCCAGCCTCAGCAACTAGTGAGGAGACCTGTCTCTAAATAAAACAAAAAGGGCTGGGGATGTGGCTCAGTGGTTGAGCGCCCCTGGATTTAATCCCTGGTGCCAAAAAAAAAAAAAATCGTGCGTATCTTCCTTACACACAGTAGGTCCACACGATCGGTAGCATTTAGCACCCTGCTGTTTCCTCATTCACAGATGTGACAATGAGGCTCTGAAACATGTGATAACTCCAAGGGCCCAGGCTGGGGCGCGGCAGAATCCGAACTTGAACCCAGGGCCGAGGGCAGGGGCTAGTAGCCCAGGGCCCACGCTCAGCCTCTTCATCGGCCTCGGTTGTGGGGCAGGTTAAACCCTGTCTGGGCCTGAGGGTCGGAGAGCCTGGGCCCACTCCTCCCTGGAATCCTTCCCTGCCCTTCCGCTTGGTGCCCAGGCTCCAGACAGACCCAGCCCCACCATCTTGGTGGATCTGATCTCCAGAGCCCCAGCCGGTGAACTGGGCCCATCTGGTTCAGATCATCCGCCCCAGGACCCGTGCTGGTGGGCGGCATGGCAAATTGGGTGATAGGATCCAGCTGTGGGTGGCCTCTGCCCAGCCCGGCCACTTGGAGCCACAGGACCAATGGGGGACCAGTGAGGGTACTCTGGGAGCTCTAGTCAATTGAGGTGACCCCAAACTACCCTCAGTCCCCAGAAAGCCTAAAGAAGCCCCAGGGCGAGAAGCCTTGGAACCTGGCCTGGTGGCTGGGGACCTGGGACCAGTCTTCTGAGTCCTCTGGGCGGCTTGGGAGAGATGCCCGGGAAGGTGCCAGCTCAGGAACGAGCTTGCGATCCACCCCAGGAGCAGAAGCTCAGGCCTGGGGGTCCAGCAGCTTCTTCTGAACGGGGAAGTCAGGGACCAGCCTAGGAAGCTCTGCTGGCCCTGTCCCCTGGTGGCCCCAGCCAGCCACCCCGAGGATTCCTGGGCAGTTGAGTTAGCAGGAGAGGATCCAAAGAGGCAGCCCGTGGAGAAGAGGGAGTGGGCGAGGGATTCCACATTTGCATTGGCATCACAGCGGGCAGAACCCGCCAGAGGGTGAATGTGGCGGGTGACAAAAAGAGCAGTCAAGGTGGAGGTCCGGGTCGGGGGCTTCAGAACCAGGTGGGCCGTCTACTGAGATGGGAAAGATGTGGGAGAGTGGGGTGCAGGGTCAGGGGAGCTGGCAGGACGTCCAGGGGAGAAGTCCAGGGGAGGCGGTGACCATCCCGTCAGCGTGGGGGACAGGGAAGTCCCAGGAGAAGTCGGGCGCCTGGCCGGGGCCCCGATGCTGTTGGAGCCTTGGGTCCTTTGGCCTTGGGTCCTTCGGTCCCGGGTGACGATTATGGATCATCCTCAGAAACACATAAAATAAATGCATAAGGACATCTCGTCACTTTGAAATCATAAAACAAATATTAAAATCTAATCTTTAATAAAATCATAGCACGATGGGCTTCCTTGTGTCCAAAATCACGACGAGAAGGAGCGTATTTCACGATACAGTGGCCAGCTGCGTTAAGTCTGAAAGTATCCGTGAGTCCTATAGGCCTCCAAGTCCAGGGAGCCCCCGAGATCCGCCTGGTCTGTGGCCCATGCTCTTAACTGAAGGAAGTGGGAGGCTTTAAGCACAAGTTAGTCGACCGAAGACGTCATCTTCTTCTCTCAAGGTCATGGAGCCTCTGAATTCTTCTCACAGACCCCTGGTCCCGCTTGAGGACCCACCCCTGACCTAGAGGAGGTGCAGAGAGGCAGGGGCCCAGGATGGCCATCAGAGCCATCAGGAACCTGATAAAGGAGGAGTCAGAGGGGGGTGGCAGAGAGCGGAGGAAAGCAGGGGAGGGTGGGACCTCCAGTGGCCACGCTCCCCACTGGTCAAGAAACAGGACACGGAAGTGTCCCTTGAGTGAGGTGTCCAGGATGGCCACAGCAAGGTGAACGAAAGAGGGAGCAGCGTTCTCAGGACAGGAGAGCCACTTGTGGTGGGCGTGGGCACAGAGGAGTCCCGCATCACGGTCAGGTCGCTTCCTTGTACTTCTTTGTTCGTGCAAAAGGCACCATAATGGCCGGGTGCGATGTCACACGTCTGTCATCCCAGCGGCTCTGGAGGCTGAGACAGGAGGATGACGAGTTCAAAGCCAGCCTCAGCAAAAGTGAGGAGCTAAGCAACTCCGTGAGACCCTGACTCTAATTAAAACACAGAATAGGGCTGGGGAGGTGGCTCAGTGGTCAAGTGCCCCTGAGCTCAATCCCTGGCACCCCAACATCCAACCCCCAAAAAGGGCACCATAATAATATATTCATTTTTAAGGGGAGGCTGGGTGTGGAGGAGAGAAAAGAGCTTGTTTAAGAGTTTGTGTGGAGGAGAGCAGAGAATGGCAGAGGCAGGGGGGCCGTGGGGTTCATTTTAGATACGAGCCACACAGGGATGGGCTGAGAAGCTCCGGCCTGTCTGTCTGGCCCTCTGTCCACTGCGATCTCCACCCTGAGGGTTCCCACAGTCACGTGACCTCAAGCATCAGGTTCAGTCGGGGGCTCGTTAAAGCCACAGAGCGCTGGGCCAACCGCGCGCCTGGCCGTGAGACTCCTCACGTGCGCCCAGGGGGGGCCGGGCCACCACCCGTGGAGAACCACACTCCTACGAGCAGCAGCCCTGCCCGTGGGCACAGGGATCAGACAGTGGCACATGCTCCTCCCAAAGTGCTCCCGGGCTAGGAGGGCATGGGAGGGGATGGGAGGGGACGTGGAGGAGGAGAGGACATGGAGGGAGCAGCCGGAGCCTGGCCCCCAGCCGAGATGGCCTCCTCTCCCCGGGGGGCACCAGTGTTCCCAGGGACCCTGGGAGCCGCCCCCTGGACCTCTGGGAGCCAGAGGGTGAGAAAAGGAGCCAGGCACAGGGGCGGGGACGATGGCCAGAGGCCGGCATGTGTGCAGCATGAGGAGGACGGACCGGCGCTGCCCGCAGCTCGGAGCCCCAGAACACACTGTCCACCTTTCCGACTCGGTCCTGGCCTCGCGCCAGGCTGCTCCTCTGGCCCTCGGGAAAGTGCAGTCAGTTCTGTCAAAGAGGTGAGGCTGGCCAGGGCATCTCGGGACCCTCGGAGACCGCGGTTGCCCTGTTTGGCAGACCGGAGGCCAGAGGTGGAGGCACAGCTGGCGAATAGAGCTGTGAGACTGTGCAAGGGCAGGGTGTGGCCCACCCCTGCTGGCTGGCCCTCCCCCGGGAAGCTGGGGAAAGGGCACGAGATGGGCGCTGCCCTCCGACCCTGGCGGCTCCCTGTCCATCATTGAGCATAGATGTGCTGCGGGCCCACCGTGCAGCGAGCATCATGCCAGACACAGAGCTAGAGTGGTGACCAAGGCTGGGTCCCTCGCTTCATGAAGCTGACATTGGGCAAATGAGAGTATGGAGTCAGGGGAGATAAGTGTATGAAGAGACCTGAAATGATGTGGGGCAGTGAGCCACATGGACGGGGGCAGGATTGGGCGAGGTTCTAGAAGGAGCACAGAGGGAACTGGTGCCAAGGCCCTGAGGTTGGCATATGCTTGCTGCATTGGAGGGATGTCATAGAGGCCATGCATCTGGAGCAAAGGGAGGGAGGGAGGGGGAGAGGGAGAGAGGGGACCAGACTGGTTAGGAGGAAAATCCCGTCTTGATGAGGGCTTTGGACTTCCCTCTATCAAGATAGGAACCCTGAGATGGTACTGAGCGCAGGAAGGGCGTGGCTTGGCTTGGGTTGAACGGGATCCCTCTGGCTGCCCGGCAGAGGATGGACACGTCTGTGGTGAGACTAGAGGTGTGGGGGCCAGGAGGAAACTCCGGGGACAGTCTAGGTGACCTGGCACAAGCTGAGCCCGTCATGGAGACTTGTGGGAGGGACAGGAGTCAGGACGCTCCCCCAGTCCTCCCCATGACCCCCGTCCACGGTCTCCCCGCAGCTAGAGAGGTACATCCAGATGAATCTGAGGTCAAAGCTGGCGCGGGCCCAGCAGCACATGGTCCAGAACCAAACGGCCGCCATGTTGGAGCTGGGCTCAGACATCCTGAACGAGACGGCGGCCCGCACCTCCGACGTGGAAGCCAAGGTAACGGGAAGGTGGGGGGAACAAGCCAGCCCCGGCCACCTGGTCCTGACCTCTGTCTCTGGGTGAGGTCAGTCTCTCCTGGGCCTCTAGCCCCTGGTATCTTCTCCCCAGTAAACCCTGTCCTAAAATTGTCACCCCCAGGCCCAAAGGGGTGGGCAGACACTGGGCAGTGACAGGTCTGCACTGAGCCCTGGGGAGGGGTGGTACAGCACACCCCTGTCCCGGGGTTCACACAGGAGAGGAAGAGTCCCTGAGAGCTCAGTGACGAGGACCCTCTGCGTGGCACAGCAGAAGAGAGGGATGGAGAGAGAGAGAGACAAAGGGTTGATGGAATGAGCAGCAGATGGGCACGTGTTGGCTGAGCCCCCACTGAACATCAGGCACCACACAAGATGCCTGGCCCCAGTTTACAGCAGTGAGCAGAACAGGCAGGCTTACTCACTGGGGAGAGTGCGCCAGACAGGGAGAACAGCATGTGCAAAGGCCCAGGGGTGGGACTGTGCTGGCAGCTCCAGGAACATCCAGGAACCCAGTGTGGTGGGATGACTGGGGAGAGAAGCAGAGGAGGGGCAGAGACATGACAGAGGAAGACGAGTCATGTGGCCTGGGGCCTGGCCAGCTGGGCCAAGATCTGGCTTTTCTGCTTCCCAAGATGCGAGTCACAGAAGGCTTTGGAGTAGAGGCTGTATTTTGAAAGCCTGCATCAGGCTGCTCAGTAGGAAATAGAAGGGGACAAAGGCGGGTCTGGGGAACCCTTTAAGGAGGCTAGTATGGGACACTGGACAAGAGACGGAGGCCATAGCAGTTGGTGGAGGGACACCGTGGGGCTGTCAGCACTTGCCGGAGGACTGGCTGCGGGGTCAAGGATACCTCTTCTGGGGCCTGAACAGCCGGAGGACAGTCCGCAGGGCCATGAAGCAGGGAGGTCACATGGCTGCAGGTGTGAGTGACCTGTGGGTGTCCGTGGGTCCGCAAGTTTCCCGAATGGCAGGCCCAGGGCCTGCAGGTGGGGGCTGTGCAGGGCTCCCTAGGGCTCACCCAGCCCCATCCCGCCCGCTCCTCGCTGGGTCAGGTGCTGAACGAGACGTCGCGCCTGGAGGTCCAGATGATGGAGACCTCGCTGTCCACCGAGGAGCTGGAGAAGCAGCTGCTGCAGCACAGCAACGAGCTGCACCGGCTGCAGGGCCGCAGCAGGTGGGCGCTGGACGGGGGGGTGGGCTCTCGAGCTGGGGACCAGGGGTGGGCGCAAAGCCAGGCTGGGTCAGGACCCACACGGAGCATGGAGCCCAGGCTAACTGGGAGGGAGGGAGGGAGGCCAGGGGCTGGGTCCTGGACAGGGCTGAGGCCCAGGGCTGGGTCCAGGCGGCCCCGGGCCAGTCCCCTGTATTGTGTGGGCAGACAAGAGGCGGTTCCCGGGTTGGGTCCCCTTGATACATTTCCTCCTTTCTTCTCTTCAATCTTTCATTGTCTTTCATTCTTCCCTTTCCCTGTCTTTACTTTATAAATTTTAACTGCTTTATTGAGATGAAATCTACATACTCTACAACCCACCTGGTAATTTTTAATTAGCTTTACCTATGAGTTTTGTTGTTGTTGTTTGTTTTGGTTCTGGAACTTGGATCCAGGGGGGCTTTACCACTGAGCTGCAGCTCCAGCCCTTTCTAGTTTTTATTTTGAGACCAGGTCTTGCTAAATTGTGGAGGCTGGCTTGGAACTTGCCATCCTCCTGCCTCAGCCTTCCTAGCTGCTGGGATTGCAGGCGTGTGCCTGGCTCCTTTTTTGGTTCTGGAACTTGGATCCAGGGGGGCTTTACCGCTGAGCTGCAGCTCCAGCCCTTTCTAGTTTTTATTTTGAGACCAGGTCTTGCTAAATTGTGGAGGCTGGCTTGGAACTTGCCATCCTCCAGCCTCAGCCTCCCAGATGGCTGGAATTACAGATGTGCACACCCCCCCCAGCTCTGGCTTCACTTATTTGTAAATAAATACACCGAATTCCACCCATCTGATCACCTTCCCTGAAGAGACCAGTGAGCAATTTCTTGTCTGCAATATCAGAGAGTTCTTGCATTATATGCAAATAT